GCTTTCCGTCGTGCCTTCTCACAGACGTCATTTGCTTGCATATGCGGGTACATTCTGAAAGGGAAAGACTGCCAAGTTTGCTGGCGCTTGAGATAGCATCACCGGAACATCTCCATGTACCATATACTACATATACCGAGCACGAAAGCAACCGCCTTGAGCTTCTAGGTCATGCCTGCGTCTTGTTGACTGGTCTGCCATTCCGCTCGGCTCTTTTGCTGCGATCCCATGTTCTCAAACCATGTCCTAATTTGGGCACGCAAGGATCCACTGTCGAAACAATAGCTTTACTTGCTTTCTGACCATGTCGTGTCAGGCTTCGACGTAACGACAACCCTGTCTGGCTTGTTGTTGTTATTGCCGTCTCACATGAGCTTTGCTAACATAGTCATCACCTTGTTTTTGCAGACTTGGTAACAGTCATACGTAGGAGAAGAGCCGTGGCTCATAGGATTTTTATTCAGAGAGCTAATCATTTTAGCACCCTTCCAAAGAGAAACTAAAGAAACCAATGTATTCAACCATGTATCGCGAGGATACCATAAACTCCATCTAGCGCCGTGCTCCAAAGCCGTGCTCGGCGGGTATCGCAGATAAATCATAAGCGGACCAAACGTATAGTTGTAAAAGAGTGCGTGAGGTGGGTGGCACCATACTCACTAGGCATCGCGATCATGCAGCGCCTCATTAGGAAACGTGCCAGCGGGACTAACATGCTGGCTGGCTTCTGGACTATTGTTTTTGCTTGCTTCGGGCGAAGGAGTATGTAACCGTGAGACAATGTATAGGTCGTCGTAGCTGCCTAGGATCATGTGCTTCCACCTTGCCAGCGTAGGTAGGCCTACGTTGGCGACGGAAGCCTTGAGTGTGGGTTTCTCTGCGTACTTTTCGCGCTCCGCAGGTGATAGTAGATCTTCGTTGAGGATGTCGAGTCGACTGTTGCCGCGAGGTATAGCCTTTCTTGTAACACGTAGAAATGGTAACGAGGGGTCTAGTTTTGCTAGCGTTAGAGTCACCGTGTTAGGCAGATGGATGTAGGCCAGGCAGCACTTACCATTATCAAGCTCGGCGCAGAGCTCGCCCTCTGTCTTAAACTCTAGGCCTTTTGCACCAGAGCGATACTTGTATACGAGGATAGATTTTTTGCCATTTTCATCCAGGTCGAACAGCGAGCTTGCTTTACTGGACTCTGAGCCCGATGTCGACACCGACTTGAACGTCATACTGCCTTCTAGCATTCGTGCGGTGACTGAAGGAGGAAGGCGAGGAGGACTAGGGAGAGAGTAGGGACCGAAGTGGGTGGAGCCTTGGTATGGGTGAGGATGTTTGGGTTTGCGAAGGACAACCAGGTGGAGTGTGCTTTGTATAGCCGTGGATAGCGGCGGGTCTGGTGAGTGGAAAGATGGATGTGGAGTGATGGTCTAGGTCGTGGCTGAACCAGAACCGTCGAGCCTTCCAGCAGCGTCACGCCTGAGCCTTGTTGGGCGGCAGTGCTGCGCCTCCTTCTGTGGCTGACGGTGACATGCTGTGATGTCGATTGTGCGGCCGCTCGACGCGCTCATTGGCTGACAGCGCGGCTGTGCCGTGGACAGCGCTGATTGGATGCCACACAACCCCACCGACGCCCATGCTACCCAACTCAACTCAACTCAACTCAACTCAAGCCGACACAAACCCTTCTGCAAATTCACGCATACCGTCGCTGGCCAGGATGGAGAGATTACAAAACATTGTCGCGCATTTTCTACACCGACCTGTGCAGGATGACGCTTTCTTGCGGTGCGCATGACGGGCAGGCCAAGCAAAGGGGTGTTGAGCGAGTCACCTGGATGGCGTTCTGATATGGACGCGTGCCCCAAGCTCCCAAGGTTTGTTACATCGCTCTGGGGATCAATACTTTCGCATTGTGGAGACATGGCACGGATGAATCCGCTTTAGTTATCCTCGGATTCATGCGTATTTACATGTTCACTGCCCGCTCGTACACCTAGTGCTGGCAGCTGGTTCACAGCCTTGTTTGGCGTCGGGCTAGGTTTGCCTAATTGCCTTTTGGCCCCTGCATTTCAGCTCCGCTCCATGTTCGTATGTAGAGTAGGCAGCGATAATAAGGACAGAGAGCACAGTGACACTGCTCATTCTGTCGTCATAGAATCAAGTCCGACCCCTGGATGATTCAATATCGGCAGACGCGCTGACTGTTTTTCCTCTCCCCACGTTACACGAGTACAGTAGCCCCCGGACATGTACGAGGGTCATAACTAACATCTGGAGAAACATTCCTCACGACTCCAAAGGCTTGGCTTCTTATTCGTCGCTTCGCCAGCGGCCCCGTTCACTAGCGGCAGAGCCAGCCACTGCCGCAGCCCACCCTTCCACCTGCACCCTGTCCGCGCCCTTCGCGGGAACGCGCGAGAATGTCATGAGGCTCCCTAAGGCCTTATATCCACTTCAATATCGGTCTTCCCCCTCGCACCACCTAAGCACTGTTACCCGCCGAAATAATCACGCAAGGCTAAAGATCTACCTGTGAAGCATTCAACGCTACACACCATCCACGCGCCCAGCACTAGGTATACTCGAACCACACTAGCTGAACCCACGCGCCGTCAACATGTTGCAACCGCCTCGAGAGCCGGCCTCGAGGCCGCTCAGCATAAGAACAACTGGCACCACTGCGACTCAGGGCGACAGGACTGGAGAAACCTGGAAGATGAACGTCACCGCCGAAAACTGCTGGGAGGACCTTATACTTACCCTGGGTACGTTGGATCCTTTTGTAGCCTTGTAACTCTCCTATCTACACATTATCCAGTTGGCGACTCCCGTACCTGTCCAACGCTCTGATCTTGTCTGAATGTCCGTTTGTATGGTCGGCAGCAGCTCTATAGTAGTGTAGTCAGCGGCTAGCGCCATCTATCCGTAGTCTGACATGCAGTTTCCAAAAGCTTGTGTTCTCCATGCTGACGTTTCTTTGCATAGATGGCGGGGGTATACGCGGCTATTCGAGCCTCCTTATCATACAACAGTTAATGCACGAGATCGCCGAATGTGAGCATCGAATACAAGAGGAAGAGGGCCCGGTGCCTGGCACCGAACGCCGCGAATTCAAAGAGGAAGAGCTACTCCCATGTCATTACTTCGACTACATGTATGGTACAAGCACTGGTGGACTCATATCTGTTATGCTTGCCAGGTTGCGCATGACCGTACCACAATGCCTCGAAATCTATCGTAAGGTCGGTAATGAGCTTTTTGGGCATAGGAGGAATATTCTTCCCCTAGCTACAAAGTATGATCATAAACCACTTGAAAAGGCCGTACAAGATATCGTAAGGCAATATTGCAAGGAGCATGGCAAATGCACAGGAGACGACTGGTACCCTTGGCGTTCGGACGAGGATCAAGAACAAGCGCCTATGGAAGCATCAGGTGTCGGTTCTCTACGAAGTGCGACTACATGGGGCAGCGGTGCTCCAGCTACCAACTTCAGACCAGTGGAGCGCATATGTCAATCGTAAGTAAAACCTCCTTCCTTTCCTGTAGTTTCCTACCTTTGTGCTAACAGTTGCTAGTATCTGTCTAACGGCTATTCATTCTGGTCAAATCGATGAAGCCTATCTCCTTCGTTCTTATAACCACCAGTACGACCCAGAGATTGCTCCAGCATGGGTTACACCATATAATACTGGCGCCGACAAGATGAAAATCTGGCAGGTGACAAGAGCAACCTCAGCTGCACCATTTTACTTTGAAATGCTCACAGCCGAGTTTGCGAATGGTTTGAAGAAGAATTTTAAAGATGGTGGAATTCGCGAAAACAACCCTTCATATGCTGCCTATAGCGAACACGCCTCACTAAAGGGGGATGACAAGGAACCAGCACTTTTGCTCTCGATCGGAACCGGACGCCCAGACACATCCAATGACGGATTCGCCACCGCCTGGCCTGGACCATTGGGCAAAGTCAAGGCACTCCAAAAGTGGAGTGAGAAATTGGCAGTTTTCAAGAATCTCCTGATCAAGTACACCGAAGGTGAAGATCGACACAAGATGATGCGTACAATCGCCAAGGGAGAGCACCGATGGTACAAGCGTCTGAATGTCGACAAAGGACTTGAAGGGTTACCGCTCGATCACTGGGTGAAAGGAAAATGGACGAATCCTCAAACCAACGAAACGAAAGTAGTAAATGGAGGAAAAACCCTTACGATCATGGAGACGGTGACCAGGGCGTACCTTGAAAGAGTAACAATTGCAAGCCCCGGAAACCTAACCGAATACCAACCCCCCAAGGTCGTTCTCCAGCAAGTCGCAGAAAGGCTAGTGCGTCATCGAAGACTCAGAGAAGCCACGAAAGGAGAAGACCTCAAGAGATGGCAGACACATATGGGACAATGGCTGACGGGCGAGCTTAAACCCGAAGACGCGAAATTCGAGCGAGTTGCACCAAAGTCAAGGAAAGGCTCTCGAGCCTTTCTCTCTTCATCACGCCCAATGACGCCCACTGGAAAATGAAAAGAACATCGTCTTGGAAGCAAAAGATCTATGTACTGCCATCTTCATCGTCGCCCAGCCATCGCCTGGTGACTGCATTTTGCAACTGCAACACATTACACATTGCTGCACTTTCACCATCCGCAATAATGTCTGTAGTTGCCTGGCGCAGCCAGCCTTACCGAAGACACCTTGACCCTACTGCCGGCCTGGTGTTCCTCCTGCGTCGAGTCGAGCTCTGAACGCACTGCTCCCTGTCTTGCCACACTTCAGACTTCACTCTGCAATCAAGGAAAAGTTGTAATACTTATTCATCGAAGAAGCCATGTATGAAAAGTGGTATTGGTTCTGTCATTGATTCGTAAATGCAAGAGTGCGAGCCAAAGGCGATGCGACAAATGATATCAATAAAGCCATAACTCCAAATTCCGCTCCCACCCAACCAAAACCGTTGATGCTGATTACCGTTTCCCCCTCATCCACCGCATGATTGTCTGGATCCCCAATTACAAAAAGAGACCGGCAAAGCCAACAAGACCGGCAAAGGCCGCGGCCAAGGCGACGGTGGGCGTGTTGGCGGAGTTGCCAGCGGGCTGGGCGTTGCCTTGGATACCACCTTGAGTGCCTTGAGAAGTAGTACCTTGAGTACCAGCACCAGTACCCGTGCTGACGTTGTTGGTGTTGCCTGGATTGTTTCCGTTAGGACTGTTGTTGACACCATTTGGGTTTCCATTCGGGTTACCATTCGGATTACCGTTGGGATCACCGTAGGGAATATCACTGGGGTTGGGGCTGGGAACACCACTGGGGCTGGGAATACCGCTGGGGTAGGGAACACCACTGGGGTAGGGGCGGGGAGGATTACCATTGGGATTGTTACCACCTTGGTTGTTGCTTGGTGGGTTTGTCGGGACGGGGCCTGAGCCGCCGGGACCTCCAGGCCTTGGGCCAGTTGGGGTAGGACCTGAGGGCGCGCCGCTAACTGGAGTGAAGCCACAGTCACGAACAAGATCTTGGGCGTCTACAAGGAGAGCATTAGTCACGTGTGAGGAGTACGAGGAAGAGGAAAGACATACCGTTGTCAAATTTGCCGCCGTTTCGCCAGATGCAGTCAGCGCAGTTGGGAATCTGGGTGTTTGCGTTTTGGGCATTGCAAATGCATTGGCGCTCAGCGAAGTCGTCGTCGTCTGAGATGTGTGTTAGTATGGCAGTTTACATGATCAAGGTGGCTCAAAAGATGAAGACTTACTTGGACCTCTGTCGTCACATCCGGTTGTTAGAGTGACGACGGGTGTGCAAATGTCGATACAATTGCGTGGGACATCCTCGAATTCCAGTTTGTCGGCGAGGCCAACGGCGGAGAGGGCAAAAGCAATGGCGATGATGTTGTAACGCATTATGGCTGATGTTGGGTATCTTTCAAATGGACAAAGTACTGAAGAAATATGAATATGTGTATACTTTAATGAAACCTCTTTGGTTGTCTGTCTGTGTGTTGTGCTGCTGTGTGATGAGAACCTATTTCTCCATGCCGGGATCCAGCTAGTTATATACGAAACGTCCAAAGACTGCTCGTGTGCTTAATTTCCCGTTTCAGAGCATGAGTTGATGCCGGGCCCCACGAGGTACACTATGCAGCATGCAGCCCATTCCGCCCAAAGGACACACCTACCACCACCCACCCACACCCACACACCCCAGGTACCAAGCCAACGCACTGACAAATGACGTGGATGACGACTAGCACAAATGCCAACGCAAGGCCCTTCCTGCTCGCTCTCTCTCTCTCTCTTTCTTTCTTCCCTCCCCCGCTCCTCATCGGCCCGTCGTCGGCAACGACCAAGATCAGCGGGTGGCTTTCACAGTCGTCGCAACTGGGGGCGGAGGCGGGCCAATCCAACGTAGCAGCCATCCCTTTCAAGATCCGCTGGGCGGAAAGTACGTTTGTGACCGCTTGGCGCGGCTCTACTATGGTTCAAAAAAGTTACAGAAAGTGTGTGAATAGAGTAAACCGCTGATCTTCCCGGTTCATCTTACCCACAGCCTCACTGCGTAGACGTAAACACACTTTTTTGCACACTTTTTTCCAACCCACATGGTCTTGTGTTTGTTTTGTGAGGGGGGGGGTTTGTTTTTTTTCCTCTTGCATGCAAAAGTTAACATCCCATCCATCACTTGTTTGTTGTGCGGCTTTTGTCGATCCGCAGCTAATATCAAGATGGTGAGATGCTTGGGCGCAAGGTAAAGACATGACTATGTGTGTAACGACGGCGGCAAAAAGGGTGCAAGAGACAATCTTGAAAAAAGCCAAGTAAAAAAAGCTCCACCCCCAGACTCTCCCTCTCTGCTTTCTGGTATTGATCCTTGGAAGGGGGGGCTTAGAAAAGTCCCCACCCGGAGGGACATTCGCTGCCAAGCCCTGGCATGGAGTCAGCCAAGCAAAAAGGCAAAACAAGACGGTGTGGAGTCCCCGTTGCTGTTCCTTTTTTTGGTGCCTTTCCTTTTCCACCTCCATTTCGGCCTGGGAGACCCTGGGGATTTTTTTTCGGGGGGATTGTTGCGCTGGCGTCCTCCCTCCCCCGCCCTGGTTACTACAGTACGTCTACGCGCGTTCCTTTGCGGCAGTGCATGTATGACACCCTCATGTGACTTGTCTTTTGCCTCTTCGTCTATCCGTCCTCCGCTTTTGTAAAAAGCACGAATCTTGATTGGCAGGTTAATTGTAAGCTTTGGGAAGACCTTTGGTTGTTGTTGTTTTGCGCTCAACGGGCTTGTAGGGCTGAGATGAGATTGGAGATGGAGATGGAGTTTTCGGTACGGTGCGGAATAGGCAAGAATTTTTATCAAAGGGCTATGCAATTAAACTCCCGTCATGCGTCACGCACTTTTTTTTTTACTTTACTTTAATGCTATTCTTTTCTCCTTCGCATACCGCATAATTCGGATTCTTATTTCGCTGTACTTTCCCTCTCTTCCTACTACATATATTAATTCTTATGTATCAATATTAGTGCTTTTGCGGTTAAGAAAATAAGATGGGATTTTTTTTCTATTTTACATAAAAGACTATTTACTTGACGAGAGTGAATACGGTAAATGACATCAATGCTCACACGCTACTTGGATGGTTTGGCCGACACCAACGGCCACGGCAATATCACAACTTTTATTTTTGCCAAGGCCCCGATTGCATAGCCCAATTCCTTGCGCCTCCCTTCCTCCTTCTCCCAAGCCCAGCCCAACCAAGAGCTAGTAATTAGTCTACACGTAGATTACCAAGACGGCCAGTAGCCCAGACCTGTCGCGGCAGGGTCGCTGTACTCACTTCTACCGTGCTTACCTCACCAAAAATGCTTGAGTGGAAACTGAGTAGTAAGTACGCGTGGTTTTCTTCTTCGCCTTTCTTGGACCTTTTTAGTCAAGACGCGGAAATCCTGGCTTTCTCTACCTCGCCGTCATCTTTTCTAGTCATGAGCAAATCATCAATCTTGTTTTTTTGTCTTGGTCTTGCTAAGAAAAAACTCTTGGGACTTGCGTAAAAAAGAAGGCCGTGTGTGGCTTAGTATCACGAGGTCCCCTAGGAGACAAGATGGAAGAAGCTTGGAAAGTTAGTGTTAGCGTAGTGTAGCATGTGCCGTGCTATGATTTACACTGCACTGCCGTGTGGATCTGAGAAACAGCGGTCAGGTGTGGCCCGGGAATAAGACGTGCAAAGCCAAGACCGGAGATTTTTTTAGCAGTGGATTGCCGCAGGTTGGCGGTGCGGGACGGGAGCGAGTGGCTGCGGGTGAATGGTGAGGGATGGACTACGTCGTAAGCTGTCGCGTCAACGATATGCGTGGTGTGCCGGTCACGAAGCGTGGAAGCGTGGGTTTCCAAGAGGCTACGTAGTCTGCGTGATGCGGGTTGGGTGGGCTTGGAGTTGGGCTGCTTGGTGTTGGGCTTCTTACATAACTGTGCTGACGCACTGGAAGTCTGACGGACGAAACATGACTCTTGATTTCTGATTTTCTCTTTTCTACATATATCATCAGTGATACATCTCAAGGAAGGAGGATGGCCTCTGTGCGTTGGTGGAAAATAGTTGGCCCTTCATCTTCCTGATAACATCTGTTCCAAGTGCCGGAGTAGCCTAGTGTAGCCTCAAGACACAAGTATCCGTTGTAGTTTCCATAAAAATCCTTCTTATCAGATCAGTCTTTAGCAATGAAATTGTTACGTCAAAATTCTTAGTATTGCGGCTCTTGGGTCATTTGTTCACCTCTGCCCTCCAATGGCAAGTGTGTATATTCAAATCACTTACTTCCCAAGGTACACCTATAAGAACCTTCTGGACAGAATACGTGTAAAAGATATCTGATGAATCACAGTCCTAAGTTACAATCCATTCCAACATCTGTCCCAACGTTTTGACCCCCCTTCCATCAGAAATACCCATCAAAACATTGGATCGACATGCTCTAGATGTCTCCACCCTCAAATGCATCCACCCACCCATTCGACTAACCAAAACTTTTAACCCCAACATGTTCCCCACGAACCGTATTCATAGCAACGCTATCGCGATTCCTCTGGCTCTTAGATGTCACGACACGCGAACCACAAAGCGGAACAAACAACGTTGTGGACCGTCCCACGGTACGATCATGAAAGCAGATGAGGCTACGCCCTCAGTGGTAAAAGCGATCGTAACCTTGGATAAAGAAATAGGCTAAGTGATGCACTGGTATTTTGTGCGTGGGAAGAAGGATGAGAGGATTAACATGCAACTGTTGCAATAACGTCACTCCTTCTTTCCTGCCTTATATCGACGCACGATACGTATCCAGTTTCTTCCTTTGCAACAACATCTATCATACAACAAAACTACATCGCCTAACTTGAGGTTCTTCGATTGCTTTCCTATCGTTCCAGCGAAGTACTTCTTATTTTCTTACCAATAGCACCGCATATCGCATGTATCCCGCTCGCTACTAGTGTTCTCTTACTCAGCCACACGTGGATTAGTATTCTTCACGCATTTTAAAAAAAAGGACAAGAAAAAAATGACTATGCATCAATGGCTCATTGAGCACTGTGGTCTGGAAGGCACAGAAAACGAAATACATACAGTTACAGGTGCCACTGCCTACCACGATACACATGAGACATCGATTTGGCCGCAAAGATTACTAGTCCGAGTCGACAGCCACCATTCAACCCAAGATAGACGCGACTCGCTAGGCAGTAGCAACGAATCGCGCGAATCTGAGGAAGAAACAACACCAAGTAGCATCCCTGACGCATTGGAAACGGAAGAGGACTATGACTTAAACCCAAGCATCATCTCAAGCATCGAAGCACTCCTCGGAGACTCCGACTCCGACGAACCAAGCGATCTACCAACCCCTTCCTCAACCCCATCTTACCCCGTCTCGCCCATCGAACAGCAAACCGTGACACTCCACCAAGATCTCGTCGCCCTCTTCATCCACCACAGGATCGCTGCCGCCACAACATCCACCCCCGCCCCCTCCTCCCTCCTCGCGGCCGAAGAAATGGAAACACTAATGTCACACTACGAAACCAGTCTCGCCTCCCCACTCTACTCGGGCCTCTCAACCCGCATCCACCTCAGCATCCTCTACACCGCCTACACAATCTCCGACCGCACCTTCTTCCCACGGTCCCCCTTCGCCACCTTATCATTCAGCTATCTAAGCCCCAAGCGGTATCTGGCGCGTGGATTGCGGTGCCAGAGGGTGTCGAGCGAGATGCTGGTGGTGTTTCAAAATTTACAGACCCTGGTGAGGGAGTTGGAGGCTGTGATGTGGGGGAGGAGACGGTATTTGAGAAGGTTGGGGAGGTATCCGGAGGTTGTGGCTAAGATGATTTGGATGATGGATCCGACGGTGACGCATAGGTGGGTTGGGCCGTTGGTGTTGTAGGGGATGCGGGGGAGGGAGCACTTGAAATGGGGCAGTGTAATGAGAAAGAGTGCTGTAGGGTGAGGAGCATGGGTTATGCTGCGTTGGACATTGGAGAGCGAATTGGTATTGTTTTGCATTTGGAAGCTTTTTTTGCTAGGGTTTAACTGGGTATCATGGTTGCTTTGGAGAATTTAAGTTTACGGGTATTAAGGACCCTCGGCAGTTCAGATCAGCTTGAATAACTTTCCGCCTACACCATCCCATTCATCGTCCCATCTGTGCTCGCTTTCTCTGAGAGCGCCTACTTTTAGTGTCTCTCTTAATCTGCCATCACTGCCAAAGAATGCAGCCAAATGCAGAGCAAGCTCCTCAGGACTCTGGAACCCCAGGCCATTCACGCCCTGCTTAACTAGTTCGGGCCATGCCTCGAATTTTCCCCAGCCCACGACGGGCAATCCTGCGCCAAACATGTCGACGACTTTCATTGGAAGATCGACGCCAGAGGAGGATGTATGTAGCGAGACACCGAGATCAGCAGAGGCAAGAAGGAGAGCATAGTCGGCATGGGTAAGCCATGCCGTCTTGATGATGACGTTCTGGAGTTTCTTCTGCTGGTTCAGCTCGTTGATCTTGGAAAGATAGTATTCCTTCTGGGGTCCTTTGCCGGTGATGATGGCAAGGATCCTGGGCAGATATGTCTTTGAAGTGCATTCGGCAGAGTAGGCAACGAGAGCGGATAAGAGGAGAGAAAAATCTTCGTCGGCTGTCCAGGAGGTGGCGCTTACGATGAGTTTCCAGGGTGTCTTGGAGCTAGGTGACAGATCCTTTGCAAACTCAGCCGTTTCCGGAAGTCTCTTGAGGAATTTGGCGCGCTCTTCAGCCCTGATGGGCTGGAATATAGATGCCGGACGGTCATGCAGGGCTTGGGCAGTTACTCCATAGTCGACTTTGAGAACGCGGGCCATTGCGTCGGTCACGGTGATGTGGTGTGAAGCTGCCTTAGCAAAAATCTTTTCGTACTTCTCCGACATTCTGACGAGGGGGTGAGAGCCACCAAGTTTCATGGCCAGAATGGAGTAGCCAAAGTTATGCCAATCGATGACCAGGTCAGTGCGTCGTAGGAAGCAAACCAGACTCGCAACTGCGAGTGTCGGTATTGAAGGGGGATTTTGCACAAGCGTCCATCTTGCGGGCTGGGAGCGGTAGCCTAGTGCAGTGTACAAGGAGAAAATCTGCCAGAGTACTTTGAGAGGAGCCAAGATGGGGAAGAGAAGCTTGCTGCTTGAACGCAGGCTAGCGGGTGCTGGGGAGAGGGGGATGATGTCAATCAATGGGTTTGAGACTATCTCTGGGAGTATCTCAGACTCTGTGAGGCGGTTAGTTGCTAGAAGTATGGGTACTTGCGGACATGATTCACCTTGGTAGCCGATAAGAGTGACTCTGGCGCCGTGTTTAGCGAGGCTCAGGGCATGGTATTGCATGCGGGGGGATCGTCCGATATCGCCCAGCACAACAACCTGAACGGACCGCGCATTCTTCCATTGTGGGAGCTCCTTTCCATCTCTTGTTGTTGCTTTGATCTCTATGCCGCGCTCGTCGACAAACTTTAGCGACTTGTCCTTGTAAGGATCATACTGGCCAGGTAGCGTGAGTAGCAAGACCGTGAAGAGCGTGGACAGGACGACGACGACAGTCAGTACGACGGAGAAGAGGGTAGCGTACTTGTCTGCTGCTGCTTCTAGCGTGTCGTCGAGCATGGTGATGATGAAGGGGGGTTAAGTTAGTGTTGGCCAATTGCGATGCACATGCTCATGCAGGAGAGATGGCGCCACATGCGTCAGTGGTGCCAAGGATTGGAGTGGCGGTGCCCGCAGTGTGCCTGCCGCTGCGGAGAGCTGGGGACCGGGGGGTGGACGGAACCAAAAAGGGAAGGCGGCTAAGGACGATAAGTGCTATTAGGAATATGGATATGTTATGTAAGAGACACCCCTGACAAGACATGTCGTAGAGAGAAAAGACGGCCCCCCAATATTCAGACGTCGTGGATATACCAAGTTGCGCTCCTCTCTACTCCCCGTACGCTGTTCCTCTGGCTAATCGCCCATCCGCGCTGCGACGCGACTGAGCCTCGTTTCACCACCGCCAGTTGGCGCCCCTCGTCTTGGTGGGCTGCTTGACTGCGAGCCACGATAAATTCTGTCCTCGCAGCACATGGCGTCGACATATGCCCTGCCCGTCACTCCGCGCTCCCATACGCACAGCCATGGACGCTCGTCGTCACAGTACACGCCCGAGTCTTCGTCGTATACGGCCAGCCCCATCAACGGCGTATCTCCCGTCAGAAAGCACGGCCACCGACACAACCGGTCCGAGGTGAACACCAATGGCCAACTATACGGCGCTGTGCGCTCCCAGTATGCTGAGTACAATGGCCACTCCCACGCCCACGACCATACCCATGAACACAAGCACGCCCATGCGAGATCGGCCTCGAACGACTCTACATACACCCTGAAGCCCTTCCTCAATCCCGCCATGGGCAGGTCCTCAAACAGGCCGCGAGGAGACTCTGACCTTGGGCGCCCTCAGTCAAAGACTCCCCTTGCCAGATATGGCTTCTCGTCAGTGTCGCCCATACATGAGACGCCTCCCCATGCGCCGTTGCCTTCAACATCCTCGTAAGCATTGCTCCAACATGCCTTAGCATAGCTCGACTAAAACGCGTTACAGATCATGGCTGCAACTCCCTGAGGCACTTACTGCACTCCTGATTCCCCTCCCATACCTCCTCGCCGCCTTAGCATACCCAAACAATACTCAGTCCTCACTAAAACCGCCATCGTCGCTGTCAGAAGCCATGGCAGAAAGTGTACCTGCGATAGAATCCACCAAAACCTTACCCGGGGCGCCACTATTGCACGCCCTCACCCTTTCTTCGGCAACACTGCTGTTAGTAGGTGTGGCAGCTAAGGTCAGCTCCACGCTACAGCCGTTGGATAGACGGAAGGAAGACAAAATCACTCCAAAGGTTACCAATGCACCTAAGCGCATTGCCAGCAACGCTGTTAGCGTACTCCTACCTTTCTACGCCTCCTTGCAGATTGGCGGCGCAAAAACCGCCATCATCTTGCTCATCGCAGTAGCAGCGGGGATTGGAGTGTTGGATCAAAAGCCAGGCAACCATACACTCTGGGACGATGCCCGGCGGACGCTGAGGACGCGCAAGATGACTTGCGGTGCGCTTTTTCTGGCTATGCTCGCAGATGTCATGACCTCTGAAAGCACCTCAAACCTTCTGGTCGGCTATACAGCCCTTTTGGGTTCGCTTTTCTGGGTTCCTCCACCTCTACCTACAGCGGCCTGGTCACTCATGACCAACCCACAGAACCAGGATTCATTTACGAGCCAACGGCCTCTTCGTGCGTCGCTGCCAAAGCCTTCGTCCCCACTAATCAATACCTCCGAAAACCAGCTTCTTACGCTTGCCGCTGGTCTTATTCTTCTCGCCATCACCATTGTATACTCATTTATTGTGCCTTCTGGAACTTTTTCTTTGTCTCAACATACTGTTGGCTTTTCGGCCCTCTCAATTGCATCAGCGACGGCGCTTGTCTACTTTTCTCTTCCAGCATCATTGCGGAGTCAGAATCAAGTCGGACTACGGTTGAGCGCTATTCTTGTTTTTGCTTTCAGCTTTTTGGAACATGGTGGCAATCTGAACATTGCGTTCCCTTTTGTGTCTGCAATACTTATTGCAGCTGCCGCTTTTGACACACGCTCTCCAGTACCACATTCCCACGACCATGCTCATGATCATGGCCACAAGCATGACCATCATCTCCACGGAAACCATTCGAGAATATCCGCATTTTTGATTGCCCGCTCTACCCCTGGATCCATTATACATAGTATTTTGATTGAAAGGGATTCGCGGCGCATTGCATACTTTGGCGTGTAAGTTTTATCCTCAAGATGATCAGTGACAGTATATAAATAAGCATTTTTCTGACACGATATAGACTGAACCTGGGCTTTATGATGGTTCAATTCTTCTACGGTTTTGTCAGCGGCTCATTGGGATTGCTCACGGATAGTATTCACATGCTCTTCGATTGTGCTGGTCTTGCCGTAGGTCTTGCTGCTGCAGTCATGAGCAAGTGGCGTCCAAACGCACGTTTCCCCTATGGCTATGGCAAGATTGATACGCTGTCTGGGTTTGCAAATGGTGTTTTTCTCTTGTAAGTGATTTTTAATCCCACAGCAACTCAAGCTAATTTGTACAGACTTGTCAGCGTAGAAATCATATTCGACGCCTTTGAGCGCCTCTGGGAAGGCCACGAACTTCAGCGTCTGAACGAGCTGCTAATTGTTAGTATATTGGGATTCTTGGTTAACATAGTTGGTCTTACGGCTTTTGGACATGCTCACCATGGCCATGGCCATGATCATGGGCACGATCACGGTCACGATCACGGACACGGACATTCGCACGACAACGAAAATATGCAAGGAATCTTCCTTCATATCCTCGCCGATGCTCTTGGCTCCGTAGCCGTCATCATCTCTACGCTTCTGACCAAGTACTACGGTTGGTCTGGATGGGATCCTATTGCATCGTGCATCATCGCCGTTTTGATCTTTCTCTCGGCCATCCCGCTTGTTAAATCCAGTGGAGCGAGACTTATGCTTAGTCTACCAAGTGACGTCGAGTATGGTATCAGAAACGCATTAGGAGAGCTGGGTACACTGAGAGGTGTGGTGGGCTATGCGGTGCCCAAGTTCTGGCTTGAAGATGAAGGAGCTGCGCATGGCGAGGCCCACGCAAAGGAAAATGCTTGCGATGAACACAAGCACGAAGACGAACCCCATGACCACCATGAACACGGCCATTCGAACTCGCATTCGCATGATCACAACCATGACCACCATGGCCATGACCACAGTCACGATCATGGCCACTCACATTCGCATTCACACTCTCATTCTCATTCACACTCGCACGATCATCATGACCACGACCACGATCATGATCACGCACCGAAACAACGGCGCATTCTTGGTGTAATCCACGTCATTGCCTCGCGTGTCGCAGATCTCGAAGATGTCCGGGAGCGCTCGTACCAGTTTCTCAAAGACCGCGGCATGGACGTCGTTATTCACGTTGAAAAGGAAGGCGAGAGCCGATGTTGGTGTGGTGGTGGTAACGACTACAAGCAGAGTTAGTGTATTACTTCTTTGTATGAATAATAGCTAGAGTGGAGTTGAAACGAGCATTCTTCTTCGTAAACGGGCAACACGGTATTTGATTCATGACTGGGTTTCTACCTTCATTTCCTCAAGTCCATTAAAACACGATCTAATCCTGGTATGATATCCTCTTCAAGCCGAAAGAAAAAAACACCACCATCTCATACTTCTACCCTTCTACCCCTCCGTCCTCACAACCCCCGCACTAGTCCTAACATCAAACTCGACCCACCGCGCCCTTCCCTCCGTCCGTCCTCTTCTCCCTCCACTCTCATCCAAACTCCCCGGATTCATAACCGTGCACCCGAAATACTTGACTACAAACGGCGGGGCCTCGGCATCCGCAAGCACCACGCTCGTAGGCAGCGGATACAAACTCATTGCATGCGCAAAGTCCCAATGCAGGGGGCGTGAAGCAAGCGGGTAAGGGCTAAGATGCGACTGGGAGAGAATAGTACGAGTAAGTGCGCGGGCAATTTGCGTGTCGAGATCGACATCTGGCTGTTGTTGCTGCTGTTGTTGGCGTTTTGGTTGTGGAGGTGGAGGATGCACCAGATCCAGATCCATGGAATCTTGATTCTCGAGATCGCGAGCTTGTTGGCTGGGTGCAAATGGCAATTCATCGTCCGCATCAGGCGGTGGCTTGTTGAAGCGGATTGAGTTTCGTTGAAGGCGACCTAGGAGGTCATCTCTTAAGATGGCCATTTCAGCCTTAACACCGAACCAAGTGAGACGCGAGGGATTCGAGGTCCAAATGACTTCTCCTTCTTTCCCTTTTGCTTTTCCTGGCCCCCAGATTTCGCGGTTGGCTTCGGCGACGACTTTGCGGATGCGGGTGGTGAACATGTTGGGGATGGGTTTGCGGGGGAGGGGGGTTGCGGCGCCGGCGGAGAAGGCGCTGGGCCAGGCGTCGTTGTCACCCGGGACGAGGACGAGCGTGGTGTGGGCGATGAGAGGTTGAAAGTCTGCGAGGACGGAGGCGAGGGCGTCGAAATGCTCTTTGTATTCTATGCTGCCGGTGCCGGGGACGCCTGCTAAACTGGCTTTGGAGCTGAAGTTTCCCATGAGGATGATGGCGAGAGGATAGACAGGGTGAACGTCGGTGGGACCGGGTGTATATGTGCGCAAGAGGGTACGGAGGGCTGATAATGTTGAGGGTACGTCCAGGTGGAGATCTGATGCTATGACAATGTTGTGTGCTCGTTCGGGTTCGAGTAGTTTGGATGCAATCTTGTTCATACGCGCACCAGTTCCACGCTGTGAACCGACGCCCAAGAAATCAGTCCAGCCGAATGCTGGGCCGGCAAGACTGTTCTTATCAACTTCCTCAGCGCCACCTAGCGTTGCTGTTCGTCGTTCACATGGAGGGTGTCCGATCGAAAAGGAGAGGAACTTTCCACCTATCGTGCCACCAATACCACCGCTGCCCCCTAGTGATGAGCCTGCTCCGGAGTCTTCTTCATAACTGCCTTCAACCAGTACAATCATACCTGGTGCAAAGTATGCGCCCTTCTCAGGTATCGGTCGCGCATGCTCAATGTCAAGCGCAATTGTTCCCGTAAGGTCAGAGAGTGAGAGCGCTCCGGTTGCTGAGACAGTGAGCATACCCAGTAACAGATGCGTGCTTCCGGTTCGCCCCAGCAGGTTGGCAATTGGTGTGATCGTGTTCATTTGCGAGGTTGCAATTGACCCTGTCCGACTCAGAGTAGCCGACCTAGCTGTGCTGAAAGTGGGTGCTTGAAACGTCTCATTGCGGAGTATGCGCTGATGTACAATGTGATACCGCTGACGGAAGAGCTCAGTCTTATGTGAAGGATCTGGGAAGAGCGATGGTTTGGCAGTAGATCTAGTATTGTTAGCAGAGGTTGTGAATAGTCTTAATATGTACTCACTTATCAAAATGTTTTTGGTTGACATTGTAGACCAGCTTGGGCTGCTCGAAAGCGCCAATAACCTTCATCCACTCTCGCGGGTCTTTTAGCAAATCCTCTTCATCCTCCTTGTCTTCCACCTCTAGGCTCGATATGCCGAAACTTGAAGTGGTGTCTAGGGATCCATGTGATGTCTGGCCGGATATATCTGGGCCGAAGTTGAAGCTGCTTTGGCGTCCTACTGTCGAACCCTGGACTATTCTGCCACCGCTCATGGACCCTTCTAGTGTCTTTAGTATGCTCTTGAACGTCTCATTATCTCCTTCCACAATGACCTGCCCACCGCACTTCTTCCAGCTCTTTGCAACTTCCTCGAGAACCTTCTCTGCTAAGCCTTCCTCTCGCCATCCTGAACCGCAGTGCTTTCCAATAAATGTGGCTAAGGCCTGGAGGGCGGAAGATGTGAGTGTAAGATTGTGTTTCTTGGTGAAGGTACGGAATGCTAGCGGCCGTAGTGTTGCCGGAGGCAGTAATATTGGAAGAACAGTCGACTTTGCAACTGGCTTGAGAGAGGGCGGGGCGCGTATTGGGGCTGTCCTGCGGGGATTGATTGGGTGTACTGGTGTTCCAAATGCGGGCGAGGATGAGGGTATGGCGTCCGACACTGCTGAGGGCTTCTCTGGGCGTCTCGCTGAGGCCATTTCTGTTATAGTGGCTGCAAAGGTAAAGGCGTGTTGTATAGGCACAAGCGTCGTCGGTCTGGAATTCCACTTTACGCGCGACGCGGTCGCGCTTTCGCGCTAAAAGCAGCCCGCTTTTCCTAGCAACCACCAACATTCCCACCCAAACACAACACCCTACACCTTCACCTTCAGTATTGAAACTGCGCAGTATCAATTCTGCAGTCGCATACCCCACAAGAACCCCACATACTCACGAAAACTCACACAAAATGGCCGAACCTACCACTGAACCACTTGCGACTGTCGCTGAGACTGACGACATCCCCAAGACCAAAGAGAAGCTATCAGAGCTGTCGCAAGTCGCCTCTATCCACTACTCTACCAAAAACTTTCCCGCCGCTGCAGAGAACTATGCCAATGCTGTCGAGATTCAAGCCGAGCTCAATGGCGAGATGGCTCCCGAGAACGCCGAATTGCTTTTCTACTACGGGCGCGCATTATACAAAGTTGCAGTTGCCAAGAGCGACGTGCTAGGCAACAAAGTTGCACAAGAGGAGAAGAAGAACAAGCAGCCGAAACCGAAGAAGGCTGCAAAGACAGAGACAGCTGAAGGCTCGAGTGCTGCAAAGAGCGAACCCAAGACAGAATCGGTAGAGAACAAGCCATATTTCCAGCTTCAGGGTGACGAAAACTGGACCGATTCCGAAGATGAAGATGAAGAGACACAGGACGGCGAGCAAGAGGAGGAGGACGACGACTTTGGTAACGCATACGAGATCTTCGAGCTAGCTCGCGTCCTGTACGAAAAACAACTACAGGTACTCAAGGAAGGTGAATCTGAAGACAAGGGCAAAGGAAAGGCAGAGTTGAGTCCTCGTGAGCGCATCATCAAGGAGCGGATTGCCGACTGTCACGGCTTCCTTGTCGAGATCTCACTAGAAAACGAGCGCTTCCATGATGCTGTAGCAGACGCTCGCAAATCGCTTGCACTGCAAGAGGAACTGTATCCTTTTGAACACGAAAACGTCACAGAAGCACACTACTCGCTTTCACTGGCGCTCGAGTTTGCATCTGTATCCAAGGTCCGCGAAGACCAGACTGGACAATCAACAGATGCGCCTCCAGAGGCGGAGCAAGGAAAGGAAGACGAAGACGGCGTCAACTGGGAGTTACGGAAGGAAGCTGCTGAACAGACCGACCTCGCCATCCAGAGTCTGGAGGCGAGACTTAAAAAGGAAGAAGCTGCGCTCGACTCGGACGCACTGAAGCCAGAGCAAAAGAAGGAAAAGCAAGTCATCATCAACGACAAAAAGGGCATGTTAGAGGACCTCAAGACACGCCTTGTAGATCTCAAGTCGGACCCCACAAAGCAACAATTCGACAGCATTGACTCGTCAGTCTTCCAGGGCTTGCTAGGTGGAATGATGGGTGCGGATGCTGCAACCCAAAAAGCAAAGCTCGCCGAAGCGGCCAAGAACGCAAACGATGTCTCGGGCATGGTAAAGAAAAAGGCCAAGCCAGCCGCACCAGCGGCAACGTCCGGATCAAAAGATGCAGGTAGCAGTAAAAGGAAACTCGAGGTTGATGATAGTGGCGCGGACGAAAAGAGGGCAAAGACTGAGGAGCCATGATCAACATGTACTTTTTCCACAGGGTGGTTCGTTGTTATCTGCCAATAAGGCGTATTGGATTGTACAGAAATGTTTAGCGTCATGAAGAGAAAACGTCAGCTTCTGGGTCCGCTATCTAGTACAAAGCCCTGGGCAAATACGTCAATCCATGCAGAATAAGAATCAAATGCACGTCAATAAGTCCCCGTTACCCTTCCAACTCGGCATTAATGCATGTAGGTGTACGTACCTACACGACATCATAGTCTTGCTTGGCATAGTAGACTATCGACCGTTGAAACCAAAAACAAGCCACTAGTAAGGGGCCCGTTAACTCAACTTCCAACCGACCTTACAGCTTACTATCGGAACTTGCAACCTTGCCCTTGAATCCCGTGAGGACCGCACCACCATCAATCTCGATAGCATTGCCCGTCATATGCGCACTTCCCGCGCTGCTCAAGAATAGCACCAAACCAGCGAAATCACTAGGTTTGCCCACCCTGCCCGTTGGCTGTGTCGCCGTTAGGGAATCTGCATATTTCTCTAGTCCAAAGCTCGTCATCCGCGAGGGAAAAACACCGGGACAAATAGCATTGCACATAATATTCTTGGGCGCGAGTTTCGAAGCCTGCATCTTAGTAAGGTGGATGCACGCCGCCTTTGCTGGACCATCTAGATCGCACACCATTCGTCAGCAAAATTTTCCATGAGTACGTACGGGGGGGGGGGGGGGAACTGTGATATCCACAATTTTTTGCAAACCTGAATCGGAGTAAGGGAAAAAAAAGAGAACTTACATGAAAAAGTGCCAGTGCCAGGTTTACTCAGCCCGCCAGTCTCGCCCGTTGTGACATCCATGGTGCCTATCCCTGCCATGCTTGAAATGTTAATTACTCTGCCGGGCGTATCCGCGTTGGCTCCTTTGAGCAGCAACGGCTCGAGCCCCACCGTCATATAAAAGATACTCTTGACATTAAGCGCGTACAGCTTGTCCCATGCGTGCTCGGGGTAATTGTAATAGTCGTCGCCCCAGCTGGCGCCCGAGTTGTTGACGAGCACCGTCAGGCGGTCTGTCCGCTTCTTCATTTCCTCACAGAGGGCCAGGCATCCGGCCTTGTCTTTGAGGTCAGCGACTATGTATTCGCATTTGCCGGGGCCGAGGGCATTGAGGCGCGCGGTCGTCGACGAGAGCTCGCTTTCTTTGCGAGAGGCGATGAAGACGCGTGCGCCGTTTTGCACAAAGGCCTGCGCGGCCATTTCGCCGAGGCCAGTCGCACCGCCTGTCACGAGTACGACATGCGAGCTGAAGTTGAAGAGGGTGCTGACTCGAAGGTCGTCTTTAGAGGCGGCGTGGGCCATGTTTTATTGGGCACGAGTTGCGATGCAGCTTGGGGGTGTACAGGAAGGGCTGGTCAGTCTTCGCGTGGAGGTGAAAGATAAACCCAGCAGCGAGACTGCAGGAACGCTGTCACTGTCCAAGAGCCTAGGTTGAGATAGGAAGGCGAAGGGACTGAGCTCGCCATGATTCTCGGTACTATTGGTATAGCAATTGCAGATTGCTAGGGTTGAGCCGAGGTTCTCGTATAAGTTCTGCTGTGGGGTTTAAGCGCCGAATCCTTCGAGCTTGGCTGCAACTTCATATCTCCGCCTTGAACACGTAAGCAAGGTTGTAAGGATTGGTCCAGATGTTGAAAAAGTTGTCATCATGCACAACTCGAGTATGAACGCTGGATGGAGTATGCAAGTAGGACGAGATCGTCTCGAGGTGCTCATGAGACTACTATCTGTCTGGCTCTAGTGGACCATATGCGCCAGTAGCATGGACTTTTCCCTTTTGGAGGATTTCAAATCCAATGCCGGTAGACGGCGACTCTTTTATGCACACTTCAAAGATACCAGGGACTACCATTGGTTTCTTGAAGTCCACTCGCATCTGCAGGGGGGTATTGTTCGGCAATGCCGTGTTTTCAGCGTCAAGCAAGCTCTGCAATGCTTTTGCAGCTGCATGGTTTCCATGTGCAAGTTTTCCGGGCAAACCGAACAGCTTTGCAGCGAGTCCTGACAGATGTATGAAGTTGTAGTCCTTGCATAACGCTGCCCATTTCAATGGATCGTCTTTGGATAATGAGATTTGCGTATTAGTGCGTGTAGATCCTGGTGTTGACGTATCATGTTTGCTTTCATCCAAGCTCTTTGATATGACGCTGCCTGGCATCTTTTTGAATTCCAGCATAATGAAAACTTGGCGGAAAATAGTCTGGTACGTCCCATTGTTCCTCTTGCTGGGGGTACTGATCGTTATTTCGAGAGCCCACTCGATTCCACGCTTTACTCTTGTTGGTTCTGGGTGCATTACTGCATCCACGTGCATCGAATCCATCTTCGTAAGCTTCTCTAGGTCACATAATTCCGGACGAATTAGCTCGAATGTGTTACGGACGTTAACAGCACCCAGGGGATTGATAGGACACCACGGGCTGGCGAGTAGTAGAAGCATGCCCGGCTCAGTCATGGCCGAGAGAAATAGGGCTAGCTGACCATGTTTCAAGTGCGAAGGGTTGGTACCCTCTCTGTGTCCAACTGCCGAATCAAAGCGAACAACGTCTTCGGCACTTATGACGAGAGGCGAGCGGAGGTGCAATCCCACAGGCGTTGGGCCTGATGTTTTGACAACTGAATAAAACATGGATTTGAGCATCATTGCAAGGATTGCTATCACTACTTCTCGGATCCGCAGCGAGTTTGGAGAAAATGCCAAGATACTTCTTTTGGATAGTAAGGGTAGCAGACGGTAGCCGAGTGAGCCGAGTATTCCCAAGGCCATGACGGGGGCGGATAAGAATAGCACAACGGCCATGGCTGGATGCGGTGACGAATCGGGTAGCCTGGGATGTAAGTAGACGTCTCTGCTGCCCTTGGAGTAGTTTTTTTTTGGAGAGAATGTAGCGAAGCGAACGCGTGACGTCACTCTTAGCGTCGAGATCTGGCGGGAGGCTTCTCCGTGGAACGACGGGAGGCGGCTAAAATGTGGAGCGGGAAGGCCGATTGAGATGTGATAGACTCGGCATCACGATCACCCCACTAATGATCGCTTTCGCGTTCGCCTCTGATAGTCCCATCGCCGCCAAGAACACAACCTCCGCCAAGAGGTATCATATTTTCCTCCGGCTTATGTTCAGTCTCACCCCAGAAACATGCCATAAAACTGCTGATCCGGGGAATTCGACAACTTAAACTTATCTCAATAGGCCGGGGTGTTTCGAATTGAACAGCGCAGAATCACCACACAAGCTACTGCTGGTCCGTCCTAGATGGCAAATTGATCCGCCCAAACGGCCCGTTAGGGACATTTGGCGTTGGATAGATGTCTACCTACTAGTACGCATGGCCCGCAATGGCCTACTCTACTTACATGGGACCAAGAGGAGATTTTCAACTATATTCAGCCGAGCCCGAACCAGTTATACGGGGGCTATACTGTAGGGCTTCAGGGGTCCAGCTGAACATTACCTTGATGGGTATTTGACATTGCCATTGTGGCTTGAATCGTCAAATCAAAACCTGTTTCGAACCTTGAGCCTGCAAACCCATGTTTGCAAAGCGTCCAGTGCGAGTCGAGACGAGAATGATGGTTGGACTCTGGTCGGTGGACGCGCTGGTTGCTTTGTCGATTCTCTTCTCACTCGCAGAAGCAATCCACTGCTTCACAACAAGGTTTGCATATACACGTACACAGTCTATACGATACGCAATACGATACGCAATATCCATCTTATTCCCATTTTGCGGTTGCCGACATCATTTCCGTAAGGTAAGCACTTACGGGTCCTCTCCTGCAGCCCTAACGCCGATCCATGTGTGACGCTGCACTCACCAAAAATATACGCTCTGCCATAGGTTCCTCTTGGAAATTCTAGGAAAAACTCCAGACATTTGATCCGTCACACCCATGCGAGGGCAAATCTGTCGCTATACGGGAAAGTTAGTCGCATCTTAGAGGCTGTGCAGCCATTGGGCCGAGGAGACTCTTGGAATGCGGTTAGTGTCCCCGACCCCTCATGGGTTAGAAGCACGCCCCTTAGGTTTGTGCATGCGGAACAGCTTGGAAGCGGCCGTTGACCCCGTGATCAGCAAGTGGAAGACACAGCTAGCCACGAAACGCGTCCTAGCTTATAGTAGTCTCTTCCGTTGACTTCCTGAGCTCAGTTGTCCCGGTCTTATGTGGTATATTCTCCCCTAATTCGACTATTTCGGAACCTACATCTGGATCCATCCTTCTCGGCCATTCCCACGACTTGCCCTGACACACGCGTGGGAGCAGTCCCGCTCCAACCGTGAGAAATGCCCAAAAGATCGACTGGTTGTTTCGAATGCAGAAAAAGAAAAGTCCGCTGCGATGAATCCAAGCCTGAATGCAACACTTGCTTGAAGCGCGGGACAAAATGCCCGGGCTACCGGCCGACGCAGGCCTTCATCCTCCACGAATTCGACACCAAAAGAGACAAGCCCGCACTGATCAAGGAGGATGAGAACCGCTACAAGTTCGCCATTCAAACTTACTCTCACTCAAAACAGCAGGGAAAGTCGCAGGGCAGCACTGGAATCCGGATAGAAAGTGTGCAGTATGAGCCCGATATCCCCAAGCAAGTAAGTGTTGTTGCTTCGGAACGCATTCAACATGTCAGCACCTTCGTCGCGCTGTATCTTCCGAAAACTGAAGGCCAGGCATTGCCAGGCCCATCTGCACTGATGCTTGGCCTACCCAACCTGCCCGCCAACAGTCCTGTTCTTGAGGCTGCCATTGATGCGCTAGCTGCAGCTCAGCTGGCAGTAGACAAAATGAACTCCCCTCTTATTCATCGCTCCAGGTCACTCTACAGCACAGCACTGAGTCAGATGCTGCACGCTATTCAGGACCCAGAGACAGCTCTCAAAGATGAGACGCTTCTGTCTACATATTTGCTCTCGCTGTATGAGGTAATAGTTCAATATTCTCCTATACAGAGCACATTGTTGACATTTCCTGCAGGTCTTTGTCGGCGTAACACGGGGCCATGGCTTCTTTTACCACACGCAAGGCCTATTGCATCTGGTAAAGCAGCGAGGACCACCTTCCTTCGTAAGCAGACTAAGCATGCAAATCTATCATGGAATCCGATACAACTCGGTATGATAAACCCGATGTCACACGACTCGCTACACTTGCTAAGTCCTCACAGCTAAGCATCGGCATCCTAATGCGGAAAGCCTCCATGCTCGATACCCCCGAATGGATGTCAGTAACTGCCAAAGCAGCAAAAGTCGATCCCTATGTGGCCCTTATCGACATCTGCATCATGATCCCCCGGCTTCTCGAACGTACCGACAAACTCTCGCGACCAGACTGCACCCAAGAAGAAATCGACAGTGTAATCGACGACTCGCAAAAGGTCGCCAACGACGCCTTCGCCTGGATCGCTGACTATGAGCGTCACGGACCCCGCTACAACAAGGTCGACCTCGAATCAATGGAAGGCTTCATGGATATCTGTGATGACCGCGTTTTCGACCCGGTCTTTGACTTCCACTACTTCGGCGCAGGAATCTGCTACTTAATCTACTGGTCCAGCATGCTCATCATGCAAGGCAACACGTTCAAGCTCCTCCGCCAATACCGCAAACTAGAACCCAAGCAGCTCCTCATGTGGAGCCGCCAACTCCAGTCTTATGCTGACTCCATATGCAGAGGCGTGCCGTATAATTACCGAGTCAACACGGGGTACGCTTCGAAGTTCGGGTCCCTGACTCCACTTATGGTTGCGAGAAAGTACTACGAGATGGTAGGTGAGAAGGCGGCTGTGGCGTGGTGTACCAAGGTATACAAGCGGGGCAAGGTACCCGAGTTGTATCAGGCAGATGAGAATCTGGATAAGTATCCCCTAGAGGATGTCAAGAAGACGATCAAAGACGATCCGAGGTATATTTGAGAGGAAGGGATTGTGGGAGCAACGACTACACGGAGGCGAACTTCAGGCGTATTCGGTGCAAAGGATAATCTGATCCTTGCTTTCCTGAATGGAAGGCCAGCACACGTTTCGATCGGTACAGCGCTTATCACTCTATCGGGACTTAGACGATTTGCTGTGCAATGCGTATCACCAGATTTCCAAGAGAATATCGAGAGTCCATCGATATCCAAGAGACGGAGCTGGGTCACTGTCCAGCAGGAAACACCAGCCTCCAAGTCTCTTCTACGCTACGGAAGCACAAGCAACTCGAAATTGCACACACGACGACTTCCCTGCGTACGGCAGCGATACCGACGACGACGCAAGTCCCCCCTTGGACTTTACAACATGAACCTGGCTAGGGAAAAACAAGACTGGACGATACAATGAAGGGCGGAAATCTGGGGTTTAGAAAGGCCTTCAGGCGTATCTGAGGAGAAACAACGTACATATATACCCTTCAACTTCCTCTTGATCAAGAAATGCAACTTTGTGCTAAACATGATCTTTTAGATTGTTATATATCTTCCATCTATTCTTCTAGAACAAAACCACCTTTTTCTCTCTTTCTTAACCCGTCAACTGCGTAACCAACTTGCCCTTATTGCCCCCATTAAACAACATCATCCACGTCTTGGGCACATCCTCAAACTTCGTCGGCACCACCGTCTCCGTCTCAGGACCCAGCTGAATCTTGCCCTCCTTAGCCGCCTTGACAAGTTCCCCAATCATAGCGCCTGTCTTCCCTTGCTCCACAGCATCCAGCACAATAAACCCCCTGACCTCAATGCGATTACTAACAATCTCAGCCCAATTCTTGACGCCGCTGTCGCCCACGGTATTATACGTAGATACAGCACCGCAAGCGGCAACGCGACCAAACTTCTTCATGCGGGTGAGCATAAGCGACAAGATGTCGCCGCCGACATTATCAAAGTAGACGTCGACGTATCCCTCAGTCGCAGCACGGAGATCCTGCTTGAACGAGGGAGACCGGTAGTCGACACAGGCGTCTGCGCCCAGACTCTCGACCCATTTGCACTTTTGCGCTCCGCCCGCGATACCGATGACGCGCTTGCAACCGACAATGTGCTTTGCGATTTGGACGACGAGGGAGCCCGTGGCGCCCGCGGCCCCAGACACAACCACCGTGTCGGTGGCAGTGGCGCACGCAATGTCGATTAGACCGTAGTACGCTGTTAGACCTGTGCCGCCGAGGGCGCCCATGAAGTGCGTGGGCCGGATTGCGCCGCTGGGGTCGGTCTGGATGGGGCGCACGGCTTTCGCGGGGACAACGAGGTATTCGGACCAGCTGAGGCTAAAATCTATGACGAGTTGGCCGGGCTTCAGGGAGTCGCTGTTGGAAGTTACGACTTCGCAGATGGCGCCTGAGCGCATTGCTTCGCCCTTTTGGACGGGGGGAACGTAGAGACGCTCTGGCTCGATTTTGGTGTTGATCCAGGCTCGTTGGGCCGGGTCATTGGAGAAGTAGAGGGCCTTGAGGAGGACTTCTTCGGGTCCTGGTGGGGGGAGTGTAGTGGTTTGCAGTTTGAAGGTTGCGTTTTCTCCTTCGATGACGGGTTCACCCTCGGGGTAGTTGGCGAGAACCCATTGGCGAGTCTCTTGGCCTGACATTTTGAGAAAGTTGGATTCTACTGTTTGTTCTTTCTGTGTTGTTGGTATGTAGTAGCAGGAGATTGGTAGTGGGGGTTGATAGTATGTCGAATGGTATGTAGGTAGTTGAGTTTAGCAAATCCAGTGCGTGGCCATGACCCACCTTAAATAACAATCGACTACACTACAACCTGTCAAGTGTTAACAGGGTTTCTGTGGTCATCCGAGACTTTCTACGTCTCTACACGTAACAACGTATGCGGTCGACTAACTCTATCCAGTAACCACCGAGGTGTATCGGCTTGCGGTAAATCTCGGCTTGTCTAAGATATCCATTTTTCTCGCCCGCTTTGCTGGTTTGCACTTAGTGCTGTCAAGTAAGTAGGCTAACCATTGGTTCAATTTTCGCCCAGACCTTGATGCGGAGGCATCCGATTGCCGCGTTACATTGATAGGTTGCTCTAATGCCAGCTCAGTTGCGGGACTGGTTGATGGTAGTTCTTGGTCGACCGAAGTACCGAAACAAAATAAGTTCCAATCCAAACAAAGCTGTTACTATAACGTAGTTAGAAAAATACGTTTTTATACAAAAGTACTGGACTTTACATATAGATTGATACGCTATAGGAAATTTTATATTACTCTATAATGCTCGTATATAGTTACACTGTGTGGACATGGCACTGTTTCGGCCAACCACGAGTAGTGGAATGTCCGGATGGACTATCCTGGCATTTGAGCAATGTGGGGCAATACTGCACAATTGGTGATTGCCGCCTCATTCATGAAACAGCATGTTGAATAGGGCTCGATTGCTGGCTACACGCTTCTAAACAGTACATGATGGCATAGAGAGAGATCTTCGTCACTCACCATTTGCCGCCCTTACCCTTCTTCTTATTCTTGCTTTTGTCGGCACCACCCTTCTTCTCCTGAGCGGCTGGAGTGCCCTTGTCTTCTGCTACTACACCTCCCTGAGTAAGGCCATCCATCTTCTTCTTTCCTTTTCGTCCCTTGGGACGGTAGTAGCTCCTGTCACGCATCGGTAACCATCTCTCGGGGTCTACCTTCTTGCCTTCTACATAGTCCTTTGGCATCCTTGATTTTCGTAACCTCTTGGATTTCGATGGTGCCACATTGGTTGGTGCAAGGCTACGTTTCCGTGATTCTGCTGCGAGATTGACCGAGGTGACGTTGCCAAGGGGGACGCCAGCCTTTTCGAGTTCAACAGCGTCGATGTCGGATACTAAGCGGTTCGCTTCTGGCAGATATGCGAGGAGATCTGCGGGTATTGAGGTAGGATCTGTGATGCTGTACGCTGCGACAAGGCCAGCAATGGCTGCTCGGTCTTCGTTGTCTTGGTCATACAAGCCCTTGAAAATTTCACCTGCAGACTTGACGTTCTCTGGATTGTGCGTGTCAAGGAGTGCTGTGCCAGCAGCAACCATGAGGGACTTGGAAGGCGCCTCTGTCTTTGATTTGTGGGGTTTCCGCCAATATTCTGCTGCCTTTGCCAACTCGTTCTTTGATGCTCCCGGGCGCCCTTGCTGTGCGTACAACGAAATGAGTGCGGCGATCAGCCCTGGCGCAAAGCGTACATCGAGATCGGACGCGGAGCCGCTTTGTTCCAGACGCTTGAAGAAGGATTCAAGAAGGGATGTAGCAGCAGCGTAGTTATTTGTGATTACATAAAGTTGTGTTATCGTAAGTATGAGGCCGACATCATTTGGCCTTTTCTCGAGAAGAGGCAATATTGCCTTCAACGCAGCTTTTTCGGTGCTCGTGTTCCTGGCGTGGGCTGCCGCATTGAGCACAGCCGCCATGTTGACAACAGGAGAAAGCGATGGGGCGGGGGTTCCAGAGATGACCTTTTGGGTAGATTCAGCGACACCGGTCACCTTTTGTGACAAGAGTGAGATGACATATTCGTCCTCTCGGAGAATGTTCGACTGGTAGGAGAAGAGCTGATCGGTAACAGGAGGCTGAGGCGACGAATGGAATATACGATGTGAGAGGTAAGGGTTTGAGTGTTCTTTTGAAGCAGCAATGCTGTTCACTTGAGCGATGTAGCGGGTCGAAAGTTCCTTGATGCTGGTGCTGTTAGAAATTATGCAGTACTGTTACAGAGGCATCATACTCAGCGAAAGGGATCTTCGTAGCCAGTTCTTCTGCTTCATCGGTCTTGCCAAGTTGTATCAAGACATAGACTTGCTGTACTGTAATTGGCAGCAACTCAGCCTGCTTCTCTTCCTCGCTCATGTCCGAAAGCGCATTGCACAGGTCCTTTGCGCGCTTCAAGCACACTTGCGCCTGTCCAAATTCATTGCGCGAGATACTGCCGCATGCCGCATTGAATGCTGTCTCGAAAACCTCTAGATCCTCTCGTGTGGGCTGCTTCTTCTGTGCCAGCTCTCCCTGTCCAGTCCATTCCAATTGGGCGTCTACGGCTCCCGAGTTGATTCGAATATCGTACTCCTCACTTTCGACGTTCTGGTCTGCAAGCTCCTTGTAGATCCTCGTGGCTTGAGCGAAGTTCTCAGAACGGTACGCCTGGATGCCATTAGCCACGTATACGCATCCCCGCATATCCCACACCTACCGCTTGAGCAAGCATATGCTTCATTCCACGCCCTGCTCCTGACGCTGCCGCCTGTGCCACTTCTACCGCCTTGGCCGCATTGCCTGTCTTGTAGAGCGCATATGCATATTCGAATTGTGCCTTCTTCTGGACTTCCGGTGCGGCTTCGAACACTTGTAAGGCGTCTTCGTATCGGTCGAGGTGCAAGAGTGCTACGGCCTTGGTATGTTGCGCATCTTGATCGCCTTTGGACTTTTTGAGAGCCGCATTGGTGGCTTTGAGCACTTCATCATGGTCTTCGATGCTGGTTTGCGCAAGCAGCGTAGTAAGATCTCTTGTCGAGGCGGCCATCTTTGATTCGCAATTCACTCGACCATCCGTCAGGAAAAACCGCCGAGATGTTGAACAGGGTGAATGGTGCTGGCGGGGCGAGTGCGGAGGACGTGGTGAAGGCACGCGGGGGTCTGAAGGTGGGATGGGGCAAGCAGAAGCTCGCCTAGGGTCCCGGTCGCAAGGGACCGTAGGGCTGGTGGCTGACTGGCGCCGTCATACTTGTACCTCATCACTTTGCTTAACAAAGCATATGAGCACACAGTAAGTCTTAATACAGTATGTAATTATTGTGAATTTTCGAAGAAACCCATTGCAATGGAGCTTTTCAAAGAAGCACACTGTTGGTTTTTGTACAGATAATCTAAACTACACCAACTCATTCTACGCCTTGCAGATGCCTCGTCCAGCACAGCATTATATTTCTCCAAGCAAAACCCATCCCATACATGAAATAATGAACAGACGATAGCCCAAGGCACCCGCCAATGTATCCGTCCAAGAAGTGAAAACACATGTCATCCCCCAAACGCCCACGCTATGCAGAACATCAATTCACGTCCTCGAACTCGTCTTCTTCGCTTTCGTCTCCTCCGTTCGATGCCGCCGGAGTAATCACAGCGGGTGTTGCGGCAGCCGAGGGCGTTGGAGCAGCTGACGATTCCAACTTCACACGCTTCGCATCCGGAAGAGCACTTGGCGTACCGACATCAACATCTTCGAACTCATCTTCGTCCTCATCTTCATCGTCCTCGTCTTCTTCCTCCTGCTCCTTTCTGCGTCGCTCAGCCTCAATCTGAGCAAAGACGGCATCCAGGTTTTGATTACTAGCAATGGCATCACCTCCTTCAGTCTTGATGGTGGGCGTGTCCACCCCGTTGTCCTCTTGCTTGACTGCTGTAGTATTTCCGGCAGCATCTTTGATGACAGTCGACTGAGTGTGCCATGAAGGCAACTGGTTTTGCATGGAGATCTTTTCTTGCCGGGCCTTCTCTGCCATTCGCTGCTTCTCATTCTGCTCGGCACTCGATCCTATCTGGACGTTGATCTTCTCTGGTCCTGTGTCAATGCCCTTCACTGCCGTTGGTCGCAATACAGTCGTCTCTATAACCTCAACCTGAGTGCCTGGGTCGACGTTCCTGTCGCGAGGCAGCTCAATCCTCTCGCTAATTATGTCTGCTGGCTCCATTGCCGGAAGGCTACCCATACTCTCAATCTCTTTCATTGTCTCAATAAGTGGACCAAACAACTTATTGAATTTTGCTGGGGTGTCGTCAATATCGTCTGCTTGAGCGTCTGGATCGATCTCGTCTAGTCGGAACCCGCATCTCGCGCAGAGAAAACCACTGTCGTCCGGTCCGGGGTTGTCATCGGGGTGGTCGAGTGCTTGCATGGTTGTGTATGTCGATTTGCATCGCAAGCATTTGAACTCGGGCTTCTCGGTTGTGGGCTTCGCATCCCTCTTGATTCCCTCGTCAATCTTGTAGATCTTGTACTTGATCGAATCGACAGCATGGCGCCAGTCGATGTAGAAGAACTCTCTGCTCGATGCTTTGTTCGCACCTTGGCGCATGACATGTTGAGTATACCTGAGCCTGTCAGCATGGATCGTCATCAGCAGCATTGAAACACCTACGAAGAACACAAACCAGCCTCCCTGAGCTTACCCGCGACCTTGCTCACGTGCTTCGAGTTTTTGCCTGCATCCAGAATAATGGTCATGTCAGCCACAGGCAGCGCGCCGTGGTAACATAGGGCATCCATGATCACAATGTGTTCTGTCTCGTAGAACATGCGGACTACGGTCCGTAGCAACTGCTTCACGACTTGTACGGGATCCTTTGCGCGCTTTTCTACAGGATCCTTCATAGCGGCACCCATGGTGGCGACTGTAGAGAGGCTCCTGAGAGGGCTCTCAGGAGGATAGGAGAAAAGCGATAGGCTTTGAAGGGCTTTGTTCGAATGCGCCGGACCAACGCGCCGACGATGTGGTTTAGCGAGTGCAGCCTTTTAAGTGTCGGGACAGCCGGCTCCCTTTCTACTCTTTGTAACGACCGTCCGCACGCGAGTTGATGTGACAGCGCGAGGGTGGATGAGAAGACGAGCTGAAGTT